CATTGGGATTCTGACATTTTGACGAGGGACTATTTGGGCCTGTGCTGAACACTTGGTGTTGACGACATTCCCATCTTCCCTTCTTCTTCGTCTTACCCCACCTCCTTCGTCTGTGTATGGTTGGGGCTGGCGCAGTCTTCTTGTGTGAAGCGCCAGACCCCTTCACACCATGATGATAATGATGTATGTTCGGGGCTGCATTGCAATATAGATTGTTCGGATCATTGGTATTTAAGTCTTCCGCTGTGCTATCTTATACTTTGTATTGAAAGGTCGGTTCTTGTTCTGGTCTGCACCTATACGGTATGCAACAGCCTCTGTACAGACAGGATCTGAGAAATATTACAAGGCAAAGAAAAAATTCAAAATTTTTCGGACAGCAAAAGTGGCAGAACGAGAACGTAACAAGCATATCAAACAGTTTTGCTGAGGGCTCTTGTGGTTGGCATGGGTTTTGCAGGTAGAGTCCGCTGCATGCATGCATTTCAGCATGTTATGTTACTGAAGGTCTTTGATGAGTGTGATTGGAGATGGCTGTGGAGGTGTTCTGACCAATAAACCGAAACCGCTGGTAAATAATGGCTACAGTGCCGAAAGGGGAGACAGAGAAGAAGTGTACTACGACATGTGCCGGACTGCGATTCAAGCCAGGTTCTGAAAAGGCGTCGAGTGATACGGAGGAAGAAGCGGTTGATCGACGTCGACTTGGGTGATGATCACAGGCAATGGGTTTTGTGCTCATCGCCGCAGGCAACAGCTGGTGTCAAGTGGTCGACGAGGAAAGGAAGAAGGTGGTGATATTTTACTAGGGTAGGAAATAGGCAGGCAATGGATTGGTGCTCGTCACCGTGGGTGGTGGTCGGGGTTGAGTGGACGATGAGGAAAGCATGAAGGGTGGTGGTCGGGGTTGGTGCTCCGATCACAGAATTTACAGGTTGATTGATATATGTCCATGGGTGTTGATGGTGCTATGACTGGGGCTGGATTACTCTAGGGCAGGTTGGCAGCAGTGAGTGGCGGAGAGAGTGAGCCGAAATGGTTTTGGATGGGCAGTTTGCTAGCGGAAGAGGACAATCACTCAACTTGTGGCGAAAGGTGTGTTTCATCTCATCTTGAGTATCATCTGCCGCATGCTCAGTTTTTGACAGCCCAAGATAGCTGTGCAGAATGTTGAATCAAGTTGCGCTCTTGAATAACGTACGGTCTTCCTAGAGCATTGCACGCTTTGTGTCTCTAGAGGATCGAAAGCCGTTGCGAAGATCGCTGTGCAGAACGTTGAATCAGGTTGCCCTCTCGAATAATGTTCGGTCTTCCTAGCACATTACATGCTTTGCGTCTCTCGAGGATCGAAAACCGTTGCAAAGATCACTGTGCAGAATGTTGAGTCAAGTTGCGCTCTGGAATAATGTTTGGTCTTCCTAGAGCACTGCATGCTCCATGTCTTCTCGAGGATCGAAAGCCGATGAGAAAACATTCGATGCGTCTGCGGTGTTGCGACCAAAGAAATTGCGGACGTTCTAATGTAGGGTATTGTCACATCTCTGCTCGATGAGTTCTAGGATGAGTAAGCTCTGCTTGGAGAATACTTTACTCTTCTTGTGTTACTATAATAAAGACTCTGTATCTGTGGCACAACATAAGAAGTTGCAGCAGGTTAGTGGAGACAATGACGAAAGGCATGGCAACAGTCGATTGGGTAGAGGTGAAGGAGCCAGATGAGGTGCACAATGGTACGCAGACGTGTTCTCAGTCAGGTGCAAAACCGCCAAGAAAGCACAGAAGCGATCAATGGATACCGGTCTGGGCCTGGTTGGAATCCCGACCCTTTGGCCATGCAAAATCGCTGACGTCATCTGACATAGAGGACTGGCTGCAGAAAAATCCAGAAATTGCAAAGGATCTTCGTAGACAACATTCGCGGAAGCATCTCTACCACTATATCAGGAAATGCTTTCACACAGTGCGAAAGCGGAAAGGCGGAAGGCCACAGCAGCATGTGGACGAGACAAAGGCAGGGGCAACCACCGTTCCAGCGGGAATAGAAACTAGGCAAGCGAAAGAGGTAAGAATCTTGTGTGCTTTTGCCATTGCCATGAGGGAGTTTTTTTTTTTTTTTTTTTTTTTTTTTTTTTTTTTTTTTTTTTTTTTTTTTTTTAATTGGAAGAGTGTTGTGCTTTTTGGACTCGTATACATACTATCATGCATTAATTGCGTGTTTTGATTCAGTGCATACTTCTAATACTAGGCCCTATAATAGCGGAGTTGCAAAATCAGCGGCCAGATTGGGCCCTTCCGAAAGGAGGACTCGATCTGGCCGCTGAATTTGTGATTCTGCGATCTTAAGGCTTATGCAAAAGACATTTACTTCACACGATCACACGTAAGAATCACATGCACATCGTAGTCAATACAAATGACGAAATAACAAAAGTTGTATTATACTGATTTTAAGGGCCTAGTGTGAGTGTACTAGTATACTCTCAGTGTTCTGATCATTTGGCTTCGGCATCATTCCTATTTTCTTTACAACTCGTGAGATGAGATATGACCCATAACTGTTAAGAAACATATCATGTGATTCTTATAACTGTTATGGGTCATCTCGTCTCACGAGTTGCAAAATCAGCGGCCAGATTTTTATAACAGCATGTGGCTGAATGGTATGCATATAACTGTTAAGTTGTGTTAACAAACAGATCATGACTGGTGAGTTCAGATTGCGGTGGATTCAATAATCTTTGGGGCTATCCACTTTAAAAAATTATAAAAAAAACAAGGATGACCTGTTCATGATGCTGTTTCTCATCCGGACCTTGAGTTCCGTCAGCCTAAGGAAAGGAGCAGTAACCCTCCAAAAACTGCTGCGTCCTGAATGCCTGTGCAGTGTGCCCTGTTGCCATCCCTTGTCCATTTATTTTTTCCTTCATGGATAGGTTACGTGCATTGAATCCAGTGACTTTCACCCAAAGAACGCTTGCCATGGGAAACCCTACCCCCCACCTTTGCTTGGCAGACTTGACACACAATTCGTCATCCTTTTGCGGACGACTTCCTAACATTATGCATCCTGCAGATAAACTCTCTCTCTCGCTCTCTCTCTCTCTCTCTCTCACACACACACACACACACACACACACACACACACACACACACACACACACACACACACACACACAGAGACACACGCACGCGTGTGCGTGTGTGCACATGTGGGTTCCTTGCTGCACACCCTATCTGCACCTGCCTTCTTCCCCTGAACACAACACATTGTGATCATGAATGTATACAACCTATCTTTCTTGTCTGATACAGTCATAATGAGGGTGCATTGCGGTCGGGGAATGGTAGAGTTGAAATGGAGGAAACTGTTGTTGCTTGGTGCTATTTTCTGACGACTTGCTCTCTTTTCATTCCCAAGAATGGTAGAAACCCGGTGGCGAAGCCCGGTTGCTGCTCCCATTCCCCCCTTTTCCTGTCCTCTTTTACTTTTAGCTATGCTTCTGGCGTGCGATGTGTGCGTGAAACACTGATGTATGGTGCACAATATCACACCCACATGTGAGATGCACGTGTGTGCGCACACAGGAAATATAAGGGGTGCCCGGGGTGGGTAAGAAAACTGGGAAGGGGCAGGGGGGCTGAGACCCCCTGCCCCTCCCCCTCCCCCCAAAAACAAATTGTGTCTGTGTGTGAAAAAGTGTGTGTGTGTGTGTGTGTGTGTGTGTGTGCGTGGTGTGTGTGTGTTGTCATATTCGCTATACACTTAAAACAGGCACGACTGTGCCAGACTGTTTCGCCGGACTTTCACCGACTCATCAGCGGTCTCCTGCAACCTAATCCGGTGAAACCTCCTTCGATCCCAACCCTTCAAGTCATAGTTGCTTCCTCCGTTGGTGGCTGTTGCCGTACAATCCCATCCGGAATTGAGTTGTGCCAGTCCTTCCAGCTCACCCGGTCTTCCCGGATCTCGGCCACTTTACCGCTAATCAGCCAATTCCTGCTCAATTTCGATCTCACTTTCTTTCACTGCTCTTCGTCCTCGGGCCATTTCAGCTTGATTCTCCTCCATCTGCACAATGTCTCTGCTTGGATAATCGACTTGGACTCTTTCCATACCTTGTCYCTTGGATTTGATAGTCCTTCAGTTGGTCTGCTACATCTCTCCTTCCAGATCACCCATAGGGTCACCTTTCTGATGAGTTCAAACCAATTCGATTCCGCCCTCCAAGTTATTGTGGGGATGTTAGTGAGGAGGAGTAGTTGGATGGGTTGTTCAGGGTAAGGGGAAGAGAAGAGGGAGTCCCACAGGGAAGAGGCTCTCGCCTAGTAATCTGTCGCTTCCACACAGTGCACCAAGCAGTGAACTATGTCCTCTACTGTTCCTGCCAAGCAGACTGTACATATCTCCGAGCTATCCGGATTGGTAGCTTTATGCGTAGTGTGCAGCCATTGGTTCACTGGTAAGGCAGCGCACGCCATCAACCACAACAGATTTCTGATCTTTTTTTAATCATCAGTGCAGTACCTACAGTGGTTGTGCTGTCCCGGATTCGTCCCAGCTTGTGAATCTTAGATTGTCCCCTTCTAGCTTTGCTATTCTGCCCCCCAAGAGCCATGTTTTGGTGAACGTTAATCTCTTTAATTCCCTTTTATCCGGGAGCGTTATCTTTTGTTGTTCTCTTAGGTCTCTCCGCCACCGAGCACTTATTTCTGTTTGTATTGTGCACTTAATTCCCTCCCTTTTCTCTTCCAGGCTTGTAGTTTGGCCTTCTAACGTGCTTCTGCACCTTGCTTTCCAAATCTCCCACAGAGTTGCCCTCCTTCATAACTCGGCTACTACTTCTGAGTCCTCCTCTAGACCCTCATTCTCCAACCTTCCGGTCAGCAGGTACTGCGGATTGGACGGGAACTCCCATCCCGTTAACTTGGTCCACTTCCCCTTTCTTTCCCCCCATGTGTCCCGCGCTTTTTGACAGGATATCAGGCAGTGTACCAACGATTCTTCCACGCCCTCACTACACACTTTACACTGTGCACTCAGTTGTAGAGGGTCTTCTTGTTTTCTCCTCTTGGCCAACCATTGATTGACTGGAAGGGCCCAGTAAATTATAAGCCATTGGAGACTTCTAATCTTTGCTGGGCGTATATTCATATACTGCTCCCATGGAATTTGATTTGACCATTCTGCGCTTTCTTCCAAGTTCTTTTTCCACCTTTCTGAGATTACTGGTAGTGGGTCCGATGTTTTATTGCATAGTCTGTATCCCGTTTTAACTTCATATTCCTTGATTGGTACCAATTTTCTGGCACTCCCTGCTTTGTTGGGTACCAACCATTCCCATTCTGCCGGGTCTACCTCCAAATCTTTTATGTCCAGATCGGGTCTGTATAGCCTTATTTTGCTTGGATCAGAAGGTATAGCTTGGTTACCCCTCTGTCCCTTTTTAAGTGTGCAGGCCCTGACCTTTCTGTAGTGGTTTAGTTGTCCCTCTAGCCTAGGTGCCTTTAATCTACCTATTTTGGCCCACGAGCTGAGAGGTTCCTTTAGTTCATAGGAACATAATTCTGCTTTCCCTGTTTTCGAGTCTAGGATTCTGATCAATCTGAAGGCTTCGGACGGTGCCCCCCTGCCCTTCTTGGTTGCCCAATCACCCGCCGTCCATTTGCTTTCATTCCTTAGTAACAGCACCCATTTTAGGGGTATGCTTTCTAGGATTCTTTCTAACTGCTCCTTAATGTTGTGGACCCCCTTGAGCTTATGTCTTAGTTCTTGTGCTGTAACCCATCTACCTTCCTCCGAGATCCACAGGTGGTCTATCTTCCAGACTCCCTTGCTCATCCTCTTCCTCCAGTGTTTACCTTTCGTGTCTAATGTCCACTGTTTGCCGTTCTGGTCCTTCAAGTGGGGGTTGCCGAACAGCGGTTGCCTCAGCACCTCTTCCCTTATTCTTGGTTTTCGTATTTTCAGCGGGAAACATTCCCTCCAGTGCTTTATAAGCGTTGCCCAGTGTTCACTCGGAGGATCTTTGCTGTCTGCAAGTCCTCTCCCTCCTTTTCTTCTAG